TATTAAAAAGAAGAATTCCAAATCAATAAACTATTGTTCTTCATTTAAAAGACTCAGTTCTGTTGTTCCTTTTCTTTCTCTTCTTCTTTTCCTTTTGCAGCTTTAGCCTTTTCTTCTTCTTCCATACTCTTTTTAATTCGTGCAGCGCTTTGAGTCATTTTTTCGCATAACATTTTACAATGGTCTTCAAATCCTTTCTTAAAACTAGGATCTGGACCAAGTAATCGATAAAAGAATAATGTAATGTCTTGTTGTCCATGAGTGGCGTCTCTAATATCACACAAATAAGTTAAAATTTGAGAACATCGAACCATTCGAGCTCCGAATTGTGGTGGGTATTGAACAAAAGTTAACAACGAATCTTCAAACAACCCATCGGCAACTTTTCTATCAATTAATTTGTAATGTTTTGTAAGATAAACTTTGCAGTCTTCATAAGTCTCTTGGTCAAGGAAATTAGCTACATCATCAACTAATTCTGGTGGGATTTTACTATTTGGGTTCATGAATGATTAAATGGATTTATATTTAGTAGTTTTGAAAAATAGACAACAATTGATGCGTTGGCATTTTTCATTTTTTTTTGAATTTTTTCTATCATCTTTTAAATAGATAATTTAGTTCTGTAGTGTTTTAATACATTGAAGAGAATCGCACTCAATACTCATGTGTTGACATTGAGGAGACACAATGACGGTTTTGACTGGGCACCCTTTAATATAAACCTTTTTAACACCAACACAATTTAAAATGTTTTCTGTCCAACAATTAACCAATATTAAATCATCAACTACACCTCCTAGTTTTATGACTGTGCATTCCCTCAAATTAAGTCGTTTTAATTTTAAGTGTTGTAACCCTTTTTTCTTATTTAAAATGATATTGTTTGTATTATCAATAAAACAACTTGATTCTAAATATTCTAAACTTGTTGGAATAAAAATTTTACGTTTTCTTTGATAATTACCATACAGAATTAATGACGTTAGTTGGGTCAAATGAGAGAAGTCGTAGTGTTCAGGAAAATATCCTAATTTCTCAAAAAATACAAACTTTTTTAAACAAGTCATTTGATATACCATTTCTGGAAAATAAGTATCAATTTCCAAAGAATAGGTTTGAGGAAGGATAGTTAATGGTTGACAGTCAGAAATATTAAATGCTGGTAAATAAAGTCTTTGAAGGTCTTGAAAATCACTTGCTTCAAGTTCACTTGAGTCAAGACGAATATATCCAACTGAAAGATAAACTTTTCTTTGAACTATCAAATTTGCTAATTTAATTGAAGTAGGAAGGTAGTTTGATTGGAAAACAACAGTTAATGATGGGAATTTTGTTTTAATTTCTATAATGTCTTTGTCAAATATAGAGTAAACTATTATATTTTTGCAAGTTGGATGATTAAGCAAAAGATTATAATTAATTTCATCAGTTTTTTGATATATATAAATAACTAATTTTCTTAATGTAAGTTGTTGGATTTGTGAAATCAGTATTGGGACAAATTCAACAAGTAATTTTAATTCAGTTAATTCATCCATTTGGGTAATATTTTCAGTAATTATATTTGGGATTTTATTACTGACAATAACTAATTTTCTAATTTTTTTTAAATTTATTATGTTCCAAATATCTCTTTTATCATCAAAATCATTAGAACTAATTGATACCCTCCAGACGAATGGACGAGATTTAAATCTTTCTTTTTCTTTTTGGGGTAATGAGTCAATTTCTTTTAAGTCATCAATTTTAACACTAAGAGTTTGAAGATTATTCAATAAATGAAAAATTTTTTTATTTAATTTACATGGATTAACTAAACAACATTGTGAAACATTAAAACACTTTTTATTAATTTGTATAAAGTGAAATATATCAATTTCTCCTAAATTAAAAAATACAGTCAATAAAGATGAAAGATCTAATTTCATATATAACTAAATTAATTATTAAGATCTTTTATTTATTTTTTTTAATCTTTTTAATCAACAAAAACATTAAAATATTTTAGAAAATAGTAAAAAATAAAAAATTATATTTCAATTCATTTTATAATTTTATTAAAAAGTACTTCATATTAAAATAAATTACTATTTTATTATAAAAACTATCCATTCAAAACATATTGTTCAAATCAATTGAAAAAAAATGTTATTTCCAAGCCCTATTAACACGGATATTCAATATTATTCGTGAGTTTAAAACTTGTTTTAATCTAGCAAAGTCTTAGTAGATAAAACATTCTTTATGTTAATCTGTGGAGACTTGCAATAATTCCGAACAAATGAAAAAAAATTGTCTTTAAATAGGTAACCAAACCCTTGAATTTTAATAAAATAAACTACATAAATAGTATATATAGTTTATTTTACTATTATAATAAAAAAATTAAAATTAAATAATAATCTTAAAATAGAAATTTCAATACTAAAAAATACGAAAAGAACTCAAAAAGAAAAAGAACTATAAAAGAGAAAAAGAAATGAGTATTATTTGTTTTAAATGTAAACAACCAATTGAAGAAGGACAAGTTATTAATGCGTGTGGTAAAACATATCACCCATCACATTTTTCATGTAAAGGGTGTGGAGAATTATTACATAATAGTGATTATCAAGAGATTAGAAAGCAACCTTATTGTATAGGATGTGCTACAGCTATGGGGATGTGTCGTATTCAAAAGTGTTCGAGATGTGGAAAAGATATTTATGGACAAGTTATTGATATAAAAGGAAAAAAATATCATCCAGACTGTTTTATATGTGACAAATGTGGTATAGCGTTTAATGGAAATAAGTCATATGAAAAAGATGGCAAAATATATTGTCAGTCATGTTATGTATCATCAGAAGGATTACTTTGTTATGTGTGTGGAAATATAATAGAAGGTAAATTTAAAAGAGTAGGTGATAAAAAATTCCATGAAGGATGTTTTGTATGTAGTGTATGTGGTATTCCCCTTAATGAAAATTTCTATTGTAATAATAATACTTTATATTGTAATGAACATAAATTTAAGTTGATGGGTTATAAATGTGGATTTTGTGGTGAAATGATTGATAGAACTGATTCTAATTCTATTATTGCTTGTGGTAGAAAATGGCACGCTGACCATTTTAGATGTGCTGAATGTCATAACCCTTTATATGAAACAACTGCAAGAAGTTATTTAGATAAGGTGTATTGTCCAATTTGTTATGACGGAATAGTAGTGACTCACACTATTAATTACAAATAAATTCCTTTCTCTTTGAATAACACAATCTTTTCTTTTGTAAATTTAAATGTTATTTTTCTAATTATATTAAAATAAATTTTAATATCTTTATTAATTAATATGAAAAAAGAAAAACAAAAAAAATTAAGTTAAAAACAAAAATTTGTTAATAAATTAAATAATATATAACAATTATTTCAATTCAAATATAATTAAAGTATGAATGAGAAATTTTTGCATTTTGTAATGAATTAATGGATTTTTAAAAGAGGGGTCAACGTTATAAGAATTATTTATTCCTTGATGGATAAATATACTTTTTTATCTGAAAGAACCCAAAATACACTATGACAAGTAAAAATAAAATTTGTCTCTCTACTTAGACATAAAACCATGCCAACTTCATCTTTTGGATTAACCTTTTAAAGAGTATCAATAAACTGATCTCCAAAACCAAACACTTTAAAATTGTTTAAACGAATTTTTCTACATTAAAATTTAGGTGAAAGTGGAAAAAACCTTCTTGGAAAAAACCAAGGACTTACCTTTCTTTAGTTGTATTAATGAACACAATTTTGTGACAATAAACTTTAGAATTAAAAAATTAAGTGACAATTTATCATGTGTTGAGTCATAAATTACTTGACATGTATTAACATAGTATTGGTTAATCATTTCAATAACTAATTGAATTTGTTCTGAAATATATTTAGATAACAATGATAATTCTTTTAGGTTTTAACCTATTAAATTCATTCCATATTGGGCCTCTTTTTCTTGGTGTTTCTATGAGGTCGAAAAAGTGATAGAAATACTTGCGTTGATTTGTGTCTAAGTGATTTAATTTTAAATCTTTTTTAAATTCTTTTTGACTACCTAAATGAGGAGATGGTTCTTCACGTAGTGTGGCTGTCTTTCTTTTAGAAGGTTCATTAGGGTATTAGTTAAGTGAGATTAAATTAACGTTTAATGAGATTTTGATTTTGTAGTTAAGAAAGTACGAGTTGTTTTTTTTTTCGTTTTGGGTGGTTGTACTTTTGATGATTTTATTAGGTGGTTGTTTTGAATAATTTCTTGATATAATCAATGGTGTTTTTTATCGTTTTGTTTATCTATCTCTAGTCTCTAATAGTGTCAGACTCCTAGGAGATGTAGGTGTTTTTTTAATACCGTTTTGTTGAGAACCAAATGATAGTCTGGTTTGTTGGTTGTTTTCTTTTAAACTAAGACCTCCTAGTGATTCCTTTTTCATTGTTTTTTGTTTAGCTTGTTTATTCCCCATTATCTAAGATATTTGTTTCAAACCTCTTCTTTTTCCTTTTTGGTTTTATTATTGTCATGGAAGTATTTACTGCACAGTTATTGAAGTTTTGTTATAAGGTTATGATAATAAAAAGAAAACTAGTTAGTCCTTACTTTCTTTTAATTCTTTGTTAAGCTGAAAATAAAATTTTTTTTTGTCATTTTGGTGCAAAAAAAAGGAAGTTGTATTCAACTCAGTTTGGTATCATTGATTATTAAATTAATAGAGATGAAATAAGATTAGTAACTAATAGTAAAAATAATTATACTTTTAATAAAAATAGAAAACTGGAATAAATATTATAAAATAAACACAAGTATACACAAGAAGAACAAATAAAGTGATAATGAAGAAATGTTGTATAGAATTGAATAATTTATTAATAAAAAAGTATAGATTGTAAAGAATCAAAAATATAGAAGGTAGTTATATGTATAAAAGACACTAAACCAACAATAATTAAAGTTTACTAAGTAAGTCGATAGATTAAGTGAATAAACAATAATTAATTTTTATAAAACAAAAGTTAATGATTTTATTATGATTTTCATTGGTTCGTTAAGAAAGAAGATAAAAAGAATAATTTCAGTACTACAAGAAACATCAAAAAGAAATTATTTATCAATGATATCAAATAGTTTCCAAATAATACATACAATTATAAATATAGTGCAATGTTACAGTCATAAAATAAGTTACTTATCAAAAAAAAGTAACTTATTATAAGAAATTTATTAGAGTATAAAAATAATAAAAGTGTAAAATTTAAATTTGTCTTTTTTATATTTCAAATAAAACATATTTAATAATTTTATTTCAATTATAATATTTCGTTATGGTGTACAAGTATTTGGGTATGTTTTCCACAACATGATTTTGATATTCCTTTATATAAAAATAAGTGTTAATACACTATATTCTATTTTATAATTTTCTTTATAAACAAGAATATCATAATACCCAAATGAAATAAACAATACATGATTGATTAAATAAATAAAAGTATCTTCTGATTGTATAAACCAAAATTTATTCCTTTTATTCTCCCTTTTGGTCTTGTTAAAAATAAAAATGGTCTTGGGTCATTTACCATTTATCAGCTTTACCAATTTTCTTATAGTATATCCTCCAAATTTACTTACCTCCTCATATTCAATAATAATTATTATATATTCTTTATGCATTATTCTTCCATTAAACAGAGATGTATACAAATTCAAATCTTCAATTTTTGAATTAAATAGTATATTGAAGATTTTTCTATCTGCAATTCTTCTTTATTTACTTATTCATATTTCTTTCCTTTTTATAATTTTTAATTTTTTCTTCTTCTTCATAACCATTACAATATTTTCCCTCTCTGTTCTTTTTACTGGATTTTGCTTTAATACAAATCATCTCTATTATTATTCTTTAAAGTGTTTTTTCTACATTTAGTATAATAGTTAAATTCATTTTAATTAAAATTTTGATTTTCATAATATTGAAAGGAGGGAGAAGTTTTTAAAAAAATTTCTTTCACTTATGGAAGTTTATTCAATTAATTGAGGATAAAAAAAATAAAGAAAAAAAAACAAATAACCAAAAAAAGTTGAAAGAGCAAATTTGAAAAATGAGAATTATAATTCATCCTTTTGTGGAATTGACATTTCTCCACATAAATCTTTTTCCATTAATTCTTTAATTTGAGACACTTTAAGTCCTCTTCCAATCAAATTAGCCATTTTTGTAAATGCAGCTGAAACAGTCATATCTCTACCATTGACAACATGAGCAGCTTTTAATCCAGAACCTGCAGCATAAGAATCCATATTAACATTACCATTACCACATTGGGTAGTATCTACTAATACAATTCCTTTTTGATCAGCATATTGTAATGCTGAAACAAAGTCTTTATTTTCAGGAGCATTTCCTTCTCCAAAAGCTTGAATAACAATTCCTTTAACACCAGAATCAACAATACTTCTAACAGTTTTTCCAGTAATTCCTGGATATAATGTTAAAACAGCTACGTCTTTACTCATAACAGGATGATAGACCATTGGTCCTTTTGGTTGTTGAAGGACAAAAGGTTTAGCTAATTCAATTCTAAGATCAAGTTTAGCTAATGCAGGATAATTTACTGATGAAAAACCTCTTAAAGAATTAGCAGAAGTTTTAGTTACTCTATTTCCTCTTAATAATAATCCACCAAATACTAATACAACTTCAGGGACATTAAGATGAGCAGCAACTTTTAATGATGAAATTAAATTATTTTTAGCATCAGTATATGGTTCAGAAATTGGTATTTGAGAGCCAGTAACAACGATCGTTTTACTTAAATTTTCAAACATAAAGGATAATGCACTTGCAGTATATTGCATTGTATCAGTTCCATGTAATACAACAAATCCATCATAATTTTTATAATGAGCATTAATTACATCTCCGATTCTTGTCCAATCTGATGGTGACATACTTGATGAATCTAACAATGGGTCTAATTCCACAATATCATATGTAACTGCAGTTTCACTTTGAATTTCACTCATACCTCTTAATACATCTCCCATATATCCTTTTCTTGGTTCTAATCCATTTTTTCCTTTTAACATACCAATAGTCCCTCCTGTATAAATGATTAATACTTTACTACCACTAGCTTTTTTACTCCATTTACCAACATCTGACCACTTATATTTTTTTGTTATTTTACCTCCATTACAATTCAATAATAATCCAAATAATATAATCCATGAAATAATCTTCATTATTTCGTTTATTAAATTATGATTTTTATAGTTCTTTTTTCGTGATTTCTTTTTATTTTTTTTCTCTATTTTATTATTTTATTTTTAGATATTTTTTGATTGAACTGTTTTGAACTACATTTGAATAGTTTTATTATAATTATTTGTCAATCTAAAAACAATAAAAAATATAAAATCATTTAAAACTATAAAATAATATTTATAGTTAAAACAAAAAATTTATGGAAATTTAAAGAAATTTCGTTAAATTTTTTATATTACAATTTTTTTTCATTAAAAAAAAATTAAAAAAAGAAAAACTAAAAAAAGAACAGAAAACTGACAAAAGACTGTTCATGAGCAAAGTCAACCTTCGTGGTAAAAGACTGTCTAATATTCCATCAAATATACCACGCGATGTAAATTTTTTAGATGTTAGTTTAAATCAATTAGATAGAGTTCCATCAGATTTATCATCAATGACAAATTTAACAAAGATATCAATATCATTCAATAAATTTACTTCACTAACTTCGTTGTATAAATTAAAGTCATTAGTAAATGTTGAAAATAACTTAAATCCTATTTCAGTAATTGATAAAGGTTTATCAAAATTGACTAATCTTAAAGTATTGGTTTGTAATAAAAATACAATTAATACAATACAAGAAGGTACTTTTGCACCTGAATTAACTACAATTTCATTAGAAATGAATTTTATTACAACAATACCAATATCTTTTGGTTTAATGCATCATTTAAAACAAATCACTTTTGCTGGAAATTGTTTAATGTCATTTCCTGTAGCATTAACAAGTATTAGTTCATTAAGTTCATTAAATCTTAATGACAATGTTATTAAAGTTATTCCTGAATCTATTACTAATATGCGTTCATTGGTTAAATTAATGATGAATGATAATGAACTTACTATTATTCCAATGGAACTTTTTACAATGCCTTCTTTACAATCAATTCAATTTAATAAAAATCGTATAACAAGTTTACCTGATATTCCTTTCTTAAAAGAATGTCATTTAGAAGAGTTAATATTAAATAATAATCATATTGGTTCAATTACTTCTTCAATAACAAATTTAAGTTCATTAAGAAATTTTGAATGTGAAAATAATAATATATCAACTCTTCCTTGTTTAACAACACTCACAGCATTAACTCAATTAAATTTATCTAATAATTCATTTTCAACTATAGTCTCTTTACCTCCAAATTTAAAATCATTATATTTACCTTTTAATGAATTAGTAGAGTTATGTCTTCCATTGCCATCTACTCTCACTGAATTATTATTAGATAATAATAAACTTCTTTCTCCTCCATTATTATCTACTTTATCTAACCTTCGTTCATTAAATCTTTCTGCTAATCAAATTTCTTCTTTTCCAACTGAAGTTACTATTTTAACTGCTTTAACTGCAATTAATCTCACAAGTAATTGTCTTTCTTTATTACCTGAAGTTAATACTGAACATCTTCATGTACAAAAATTTAATGCTTCTTTTAATCATTTCGTTACTTTACCTAATTCATTACTTTCTATGACTTCATTAACATCATTAGAATTAACTGATAATAACCTTCTAATTATTCCATCAAATTTTACTGTATTAATTCATCTTCGTTATCTCTCATTATCGTCAAACAACTTAACAACTTTTCCTATTCAAATCTGTAACTTTAGTAAATTACAAGCATTAATTATTTCAAATAATAATTTATTTGAACTACCATCTCAACTTACTTCATTATCAACTTTAACTACATTAGACCTTTCTTTTAATCATCTAAATTCTATTGACGTAGTAACTCATTTAATTCACCTCCAGTGTCTTGACGTTTCTTCAAATGACCTTGTATTACTTCCTGATGGATTAACAAAACTCTCCTCATTAATTTTTCTGAATCTCTCGGAAAATAAAATTACCTCAATCAACAAGTTATTACTAAAACCTTCTTTATTCCTTAACCTAACAAATAACCAAATTACTTCTATTGGAGATATTGATGAAAACCAATTTGTATTAACTAACTTTGATTGTAATCCATTTAAACAACATCATGTTACAGAAGAAGGAAAAAGTTTATCAATGACCAATTCAAGTTTATTTAAAATTACTGTAGCACATGCAGAAATGACTGGATTACGTCCAACTTATGAAGACTCACTTGAACTTGTTCCTAATTTTATGGATAAAAAAGGAAGGAGTTTCACTGCTGTATATGATGGTCATTCAGGACAGGTATGTCCTAATTATGTTGCAAAACGATTTCATTGTGTAATTGAAATATGTTTAAATGAAGGACTAGCTCCAGTAAATGCTTTAAAAGAAGGGTTTAATAGGATGCAAGAAGAAATTGTACAAAAAGGAATAGAAGATGGATGTACTGCTGTTGTAGTCATGATTCTAGATATGAAAATGTATGTTGCGTGGGCAGGTGATTCTAGAGCTGTTTTATGTCGTGGAGGTAAAGCAATTCAATTATCTGAAGATCATAAACCAAATGGAACATGTGAAAGAGAAAGAATTATTAGAATGGGTGGACATGTTTTTGCAGGAAGAGTTAATGGAGAATTAGCTATTTCACGTTCATTTGGTGACATACAAAATTCACCAATTGTTTCTGCTGTTCCAGAAATAAGAGAATATGATATTATGGCTAATGATGAATTTGTTATTGTAGCATGTGATGGAGTTTGGGATGTAGTTAGTAATCAAAAAGCTGTTGATATTATTAAAACATCCAAATCATTAAGTATAGGTTCTGTAAGATTAAGAGATTTTGCTTACAGCATGGGTTCTCAAGATAATATTACTTGTGCTGTTGTAACTGTTCCTTTTTGTTATTAAAATTAGAATATATTAATTTTAATTCTTTTTTATTTTAAATATTTAAGTTTTATTTAAAAAAAAGTATTAAAATTAATTGTCTTACATTTGATTCACCCAATATTGGAATAATTGATGTGCAATATAAGTTGGTGGAACAGTATACTTCCCTTCTGGGTTTGGTTTCTTTGATTCATTTATAGCTTGTTTAACTTCTTCTTCATTTACCCAAAATGCTTCACATAATTCATTTCCAGGAATAATATCAATTTCACTATCTATTGCTTGTGCTTCATAACCAAGCATTATCTGATTTGCTCCAGGAAGAGGATATCCAGAACTTGTAACATATTTAACATTTTTGACACGTAAATGAACTTCTTCCCAAACTTCTCTAGTAACACATTCTTCAACAGACTCACCTACTTCAAGAAATCCAGCAACACAAGTATATCTTTTTTCTGGCATAATTGATTTACGAACAAATAAACATTTTTTTTCTGTTGGATGACGTACAACAACAATAATACAAGGGTCTGTTCTTGGAAATACCATATTTTTACAATGTTCACAATCCATATGAGTTCCAAATCCTCCATATTTCATTTTATTTCCACAACATGGGCAATAACTAAAACGTTGATTAAATTTTATTAAAGCACTTCCAAATCCAATAATATCACACATAGCATGTTCTAATTTCATACACTCAGTTAGATTCATTGAAATACTTCCAGCTGGAGTACGTTCAGTTTCTACTGCAACATATTGTTTATCTTCAGTTGTTCCCATATATACAATGATTTTAATATTATTTTCTAACATTTCTTTTTCCGTATAAAAAGCACTTCCATTTCTAATATTTGGATTTCCCATTTGATTATAACACACAAATATTATTTGTTTTTCTGTTGCTTTTAATGTTGGAAGTAATTTATCTATTTGGTCATTTCCAACAGCCTCTCTAATACTGTCTAATCGTTGCATATGGCTTGAGGTGAAATTCATTAATGAAAATATTTAAGAATTAACAAGTTTGCTTTATAAATATGTTTACAAATAAGAAGGGTTTGAAAGTTTGTTTCGTTTCTTTTGAAGTGTCTAATTTTACAAAAGGATGAAATATAATTGAAATCAATTGAATTTTCTTTTTCTCTTTTTCTTTTAGAACAAAAGTCTACAAAAATATGAGTTATAAAATAGGTTTGTCATCTTCAGAATCAAACATATCATATTCATCATACAAAATTGTTTGATTTATTTTTGTTGTATGTAACAATGAAATAGTTGCTAAATCATTTTTTATTTGATAGAAACAGAAACACATTACAATCACAAAATATGTATTCATTAATTTCATCATACAAACAGGAATTGCTATGTAAAATAAATTAAAAGTTTAATTTAAAATGAGAGAATAGTATTAAAAAAAACATATATATAAAATAAACAAACGAAGATTATTATGCGAGTCATTTTGAAAGAATAATTGTATTACACACGCAATAGCTACTAATAATGTAAATGGTGTTAAGAAAAATAATCTTTTTCTATTTATCGGATTCATCACTTGTGTAAATGAAAAGAACTCAGACATTAATATCCAAAAAACAAGAACTACTTGTAAAAGATCTCTAATTGCTTTTATATCATCCATTATTGGATTTGGACTTCCAGCAATTGAAGATGAATGATGTAAAATATTCATAAAGAAATAAAGAATAAAACAAAAGAAATAAGCTATTAAAACACATGAACGTAATACCCATTGTAAAATTGGATAGGGTTCTTCAATAGCAAGTAATTTTAAATGATCTACATGGAAAAATATCCATACAAAAAGAATAAACATATATAATTCCATTAATACATTATCTACATATTCAATAGAAATATAATTAGCATAAAATCCTAAAGCTACAAAAGGATCATTAAATAAAATCATTCCAAATGATAATAAAAGATTAAAACTTACATAAATATTAAATTCTTTCTTTTTAATTGCAATAACAAAAAGAATAATAAATGTTATGGTTGAAATACAAACCAATGTTATAGTTAATGAAAGACTAAATATTGTATGTGATTTAAATGCTTTAGAGACCATTAACGAAATTGTTAGTCCAGTTGAATTGAATTTATTTTCTATATCTTTAATTGCAACTAAAATAATATATTTTGCCTCTTGTACTGCATCGTCACTAACAAAAATAATATCATCACACTTGTCTATAAAACATCGTGTTGTATATGTTCTATTGAAAGAATTAACAGTGTCATGAAAATTTTTTACGATATGTAGTTGGGTTTCAGCATAAAAAGAAATTTCTTCATTAATTTCAGTTTTTGGTTCTAACTTTAAATACACCTCAAGCCATTTATCATATTTTTGAACGTCAAGACTTTGCATTAATGCATATGTCCCATTTGAGTATGAAGATACATCAACAACGAGTGGAGTAATTTCAGTAGTTAAAACAACCTGATGATAATAAATAGAAACTCCGGCAACAGCTAAACTAATTAAGATAGTGATAATAATCAAAATAATAAAATGCCATCGATTCATTGTATCAACAATAAGTTGATTTCTCATATTAAACAAAAGAGAATATATAATACCCAGATTAATTGAACTAAAAACTATATTTGGTAGTAAAATAAATTATATTATTTCTATAAGAAAAAAAAAAGAGAATAAGAAAGAACAATCATCTCTTCTTCTTTTCTTTTAATTAGCAAATTGGAGTACAATTCCTTCACTCTGTCCTATACCCTTTTGTATTGCATGTTCTGAAGATGTTTCATCTTTAAATTCTATAAACGCTACAGCATTTCCTTTAATAACAATGTACCTAACTTCAACAAAACCTTCTTGTTGTTTAAATAATTCTTCTAACCTTTGTTTACTTACATTTTGTGGAACACTCTTAATAAATAGTCTGTTGCTTGTATGTCTGGTCGGTGAGTTTGGAGGAAGTTTAATCTCGTTAGGTTCTTTCTTTTCAATATCTTGTTTAATTGGAACTTCTTCTTTATGTTCAAGTGTTTTTTCTATTTGGACTTTAATTTGTTTTGGTTTTTTTTCTCGAGTAATTTCTTTTCCTTGATTCTTAACAGTAATATCACTTTCAATTTTAGAATAGTTAATATGCTTTATTGTTATGACCTATCTTTTTTTTATTTTTTAATGTTTAAATATAAAACAAACCATTGGTCTATCAAATAATTCATGATTTTGTAATGATTCCATCGCAAATTGTGCTGATTCTTTTGTATCATAAATAACAAATGCTTGTCCTCTCATTTTTAAACTCTTTCTAACACATACCTGAAGTACATTTCCATATGCTCCAAAAACAGTATTAAGAGAATCTCTAATTCTGTTTGGCTTAATACTTTGGTCAAGGTTGTTGATGTATAGTGTGCATGAAACAGGAATTGTTGGATCAGCTTCAAATAAATTTTTTTTATCTTCTTCTTTTTCCATTATTCTTTTCTTTGTTTCATTTTATAGTTCATTTGATAGTTTCTTTATTATTATAGTAAATTTATAATATAAAATAATTTATTCAATTCTTGTTTTAAAGCTCATATTCTTTTAAGTCTAATGTGTAAGTAACAGATGTTTTTTTATCAAGATCACGTGCCACACCAACTAAAGCATCAGCCCTTTCATATAAAGTGTCTTTAAGAGAAATTACTAAAAACTGGACATCTCCACATTTTTTTTGAATATATTTGGCGACTTGAAGAATATTTTGAACATCTAGTGCAGCATCTATTTCATCTAAAATAAAAAATGGACTTGGATAATAACTTTGAACAGCAAATAATAAGGCAAGTGCAGCAATAGTTTTTTCTCCACCAGAAAGTTGTTCAAGGTCATGGAACCTTTTAAATGGTGGCATTGCACTATATTTTAATCCACTTAAATAAGGCTCTTCTGTATTTTCTAAAGATAGATAAGCAGTACCCCCAAGTGGATGTTTTGTACTTCTTGTTAACTCTTTATAAATTGGATCAATTGTATTGGAAATATGTTCAAAAGCTTCCATAAACATTTTTGTTCTTTTATTTTTAATTTCTAAGAAAGCGTCTGTAGCACTTTTGGCTTCTTTCCTAACTTCTTCAAAATCATCATTAATATCTTTTAATTTATCAACAATTCCATTAAACTGATCAATAGCTTTCATATTTGGTGTAAGTCCATTGATCTTATTTTCTAGTTTATTTATTTCTTCTATTAACTCATTCCGTATTCTGTTATATTCTTCATTATTTTTTATTTTAATATCTTTTATACTCTCAAAGTCAAATTCTACCTCTTCATAAGTTGTACTTTGTGTGACAATACCCATAGTAATTTTAGTACTTTGAGTTTTCTTTTCATTGTCTTTAATAGGTAATTCTATTTGTTCCATTCTAGCACTTCTAACAGTTTCATCTAATCCAACTTGTAATTTACTGTACATGCTTTGTGCATGACTTTGTTCTTTTTGATTTTGTTTAATAAGATTTTCAACTTCTTCGTATTCTTTCTTTTTATCTGTAACATTTATTTTTAGTTTTTCCATCTCTCTTAGTATACTAGCTAATTCTCCACTTTTTTTTTCAATTTCTGTATTATTTCTTTCAAGTTCTTGTTTAATCTCTTCTTCTTTTTTACTAATTTCTTGTTTAATCTCTTCTTTAAGATCATAAATTTCTTTTTCTAACTCCATTTTTTCTGTTGAACTATTCTTCTCATCTTCTATTTTAATTCGTTCTTTAAGTACATCAATTTCTTGTTGAATGTTAAACATTTCAAGTTCTCTTTCTTTATTAATTCTTTCACTACACTCTAAATAAATATTTTCTATTCCTATTTGATGATTTAATTCTCCAAAATATTCTTCTTGTTTTTCTTTTAATTCTTCTTCAAGTTGTTTATAATGGTTCTTATTTTGGGTTATTCTTTTTTTGACTTCTCTAACATCTTTACCTCCGATTTTCTTTTCCATTTCTTCTTTCTCTTTTATATACTTTTCTTCATTCTTTTTTATTTCTTCTAAATTTTTTTGTAATACATTAATTCTTTGTTGACATCCTTTAACTCTTAGTTGAACTTCTTCTAAATTTGTTATTTGAATATTTTGTGTTTCTTTTAATTCTTCTTCTAATTGTTGTTTCTTACTAGATAATGACATATATTCTTCTTCTCCTTTTTTAACATTAACTTTCTTTTTACTTTTTTCTGTTATACCACCAACCATTAATGAATTTTTTTCTACAATACTTCCAATTGAAGTAATTACTCTAAATTTATGTCTATGGTATTCACTAAAAGCAATTTTCCTTGCATTATCTAATGTATCAACAAGTAATGTATTATTTAATACAAATCTAAAGACAGAATCATATTTATCATTATACTTAATATTTTTAATTGCAAAACTTCCTCCTATATCCTTAATTTCTTCATCAAGTTCAAAGAAATCTTTTGTCTTTAATTCTTTTAAGCATAAGAAAGTTAAAACAACTCTACTTCTTTGTTCTTTGACATACCTTAAGCATTCTATTGCTGTTTGAGTATCTTCAACAACAACAGCTTTGTTATATTTTCCAATAGCTAAACTAATAACATTTCCATTTCTCTTATTAATAGGAGTATATAATTCATTAACTTGTCCATAAACTTTACTGAATAATCGTTTCAAATTATCAACAATTTCATTTAACATTCTTTCATGTTTATTTTCTTTTAAACTCATTCTTAATTCACTCATTTGATCTTCAACTTGTTTTAATTCATGGTTAATTCTTTCAATATTTTCTGTTTTTTCATTTAATCTAACTTTAATTATTTCTGCTTCTTCTTCTTCTTTTCTCTTTTCTTCTTCTTCTTTTTGTATTCCTTCTTCATACCTTTTAACTTGTATCTTGATTGAATCAAGTTGTTCTTCTAAAAGTTTAATATTTTCTACTTTTCCAAGTTCTTTTATTAATTCTTCATCTTGTTTAATTTGTCTTTTTATTTCATTAAATTCAGTCTCTTTATCTCTACACTCAGTTTGATATTTTTCATTTTGTTTATCAAATTGTTTTTTTTGATTTTCGTTAAGAGTGATTATTTGTTTATTTTTTAATTCATTTAACCTTTCCTCTTTTTCACTTTTTTGTTTTTCAAATTCATCAATTTTGTGTTTTTCTTCAGAACTTTGTATTTCAAGAATTCTAAATTCCCTTTCTTTGCTTCTTAATTTATCATTTAACATTCTTTTTTTAGCTTGAATTCTACTTTCAAGAGGTTTTAAAGATTCTCGTTCACCTTTTAATTTTCTAATTACATCTTTCTTTTCATTTTCTTCTTTAACTTCTTCTAACTTCATTTACTGCTTCTTGGTATATTTGTTCTTTTTCAGTTTTTTGATTCATTAATTCTTCTAACTCAGTTCTTTTTTCTTTGGTTTCATCAGTATATTTCTTCATTCCTTTTTTATAATTTCTAATATCAACAAGCATCAATTTCTTCTTTTGTTCATTTAATTCTTCTTCCAATTCTTGATACCTTTCAGCTTCTTCTTTCATTTGCTTATACTGTTTTTTTTCTGCATTCATGCCTTTCTTCTTTTGAAAACATGTCAACGTTTGTTCCTCTGCTTTTTCCTTTCTTGCTTTCAGTTCATCATATTCTTTGGCAAGTTCATCACTACCACAAATAGACTCAATCATTTTAGTTAACTCTTTTCCACTTTTTGATGCAACTTGAATAACGTCTCCTTGGAAAACTAAAAAATTTCTTGCTTTAACATCAATATTAATGTCTCTCAAAGTATTTTGATACTCTTTTTCACTTACAATATTTCCATTAATTCGGTATTCACTTGAGCCACTTTCGAGTACTGTTCTACTATATCTTTTTATTTCTCCATTCCCATGTTTTAATTGTAGTTCTACGA